GTGCATGTGTGTGCATGCCCAAAGTCCTGAGAGAAGAGAGGAGAAGGATTGCGGTGTGGCCATCCCTCCCGGGGAGTGATTTCTCTCTGTCTCTCCAGTGAGCCCATGTGCCCTATAGCAAATAGTCTCTCTCTTAAAAAAAAAAAAAAAAAAAAAAAAAAGAAACATTGAAGTCCACATTAAATATAATTTTTATATAATTATGGAATACTTCATTTGATAAGTTGACATAAAGGTATGTTTCATAGTCATGAAATTAAATATTTATGTTGACTTTTCGAGCTTCCTTTCCATATTCTGGAATCAGTACTTTTTTAAGCTGTCAGACATTTTCATACACTCTTGAAAAGCTTGCTGTGCCCATAGAGCCTAATGGGAAAATGTCTCTGAGTGGCTCCTAGGTCACAAAGGTTGGGAAGCACTGCATTGAGTGTCACTTCAGAAAACCACCTGCACCCTCATTTCCTTCTGCTCCTGGTTACTAATCCCTTCCTGTCCCTGAGCCTCTACAGACTGAGCTGACAGAGTGTTCTTTCCTTTCTTGAATCCCCCAGCTTTTCTTCTGACCTTGGAAACTCTAGAATGGAATACTTCAAAGCTGGTGGTGGGAGGGGCAGGGTTAGAGGCTACAGGAAGGGCTAGAGGCTCATAACGAACCTTTCTCTCCCTGCCTTCCCCTTATCTATTTTTGATAAGGCAGAAACCATAACATTTGGGAATGACAGAAGTTTGGAATATGGTAGAGTTAGTTCATACCTTTTTTTTTGGGGGGGGGATAATTTCTGAAACCAGATCTGACTGTTCCATGGAGTTAACAATTAAGAGCATAGCTGATAAATGATCTAATGTCATTTCAGAAAAAATAAGGAGAAATGAAATGTAAGAGGATCCTGACTTAGGGGTCCTAGCAGGTGTCATGGTGGTTAAGGTGCTGGATCCTGTATGGCCAACTCTGTGGTTTAAATCCTGGATGCAGTGGCTTGAAAAATACACTGGGTATTTGCCCACATGCTCCAAATCCTGAGAGGAGAAGTGGGGAGAAGGGATTGCAGTGTAGCCATCTCCCCCAGTGTTATTTCTCACTCCCCCCCCCCTCTGGCAAGTGCATGTACTCTATAGCAAAAATCTTTTTTAAAAAAAAAAAAAAAGGATACCAACCTAGGAAACATCCTTGTACAATTATCAAAAGAAAATTGAGGGAACCAGCAGTTAGCGTAATGGCTATGTCGCTGGACTCCCACGTAGTCGACCGCGGTTCACATCCCGGGCCCGGTGGCTTAGAACTCACGCTGGGCCCGTGTGCGTGCATGCCCAAGATCCCGAGAAGAGAATGGAGGAGAAGGGATTGCGGCGTGACCATCCCCCCTGGGGGGTGATTTCTCGCTTTCTGTCTCTATGTCTCTGTCTGGCGAGTGCACACGCCCTATAGCGAAAATCTCTCCTAAAAAAAAGAAAATTGAGAAGTTACAGAAAATGAAATATGTTTTTGAAACTGCAGTAAGCATAATTTGTGTTTGGAAAAGACAGGGATACCAGCAAATAAAAGGACAAAAACAGGATCTTTAGGAAATCCCAAAGACAAAGACATAGTTTCCAGCATTTCTTCACCTCCACTGTAGATGCAGCTTTTCTAAACCCTATGTACATTTCCTCAGTTACCCACAGCACATTTTTTTTCACTTCTTTGTATAAGTTTAATCTCATTTTTAAATAATTAATTAATTATTATTCTTCAATTTGACCAGAGAGAGTGAAAAGGCAAGCCACCATGTCCAGGACTTGAACCATGGTCAGCCTTGTTGGAGTCCAGCCCCTTAACCACCATGCTGCCTGCCAGCCCCTTAACCTCATTTTTAAACTGTAAGTACTTTATGCATTCTGGCATCTTTTACGGTATCTATCTACCATGGTTCTGAATACCTCTTAGGTACTCATTTATTTACTAAAGGGATAAATGAATAGAGCTCAAAACGCTATTGTAGTCCAAAACTCCACAGATCTATCCCACTAAGAGGTCGCGGACCTAAAAGCATTACTTTATTGATTCTATCCTGGTGTGTATGTATAGTTACAGGAATAGAAACTAGAAATATATCAATATGTCATCCATGTTGTTGCTTTCTGAAATCATTCTGTGATTGGACTGGCCTGTTTATATCCGAATGTCAGTGGATTTTTTGTTTGTTTTCTGGTTTTTGCTATAGAGTGCATGCATTCTCCGGAGAGAGAGACAGAGAGAGAGAGGAAAAGTGAGAAATCACACTCCCTCCCAGGGTGATAGCCACGCCACAATCTCTTCTCTATTCTCTTGGGATTTGGGGCACAAATACACACATGCCTGGCATTTTCCAAGCTGTCGGGTCTGGGACTCAAACCGCTAAGTTGGCCAGTGGGATCCAGCCACCCTACACATGATGCCACCTGCTGGCTATGAAGGTCAAGAGTTTTATAATGGGTATGCATGTGCATGTGTGTGGGATTTTTTTTAGCTATAGGATGGTATGCTTGCCAGAGACAGACAGAGAGATAAAGACACAGAGAGAGAAAGTGAAAAATCACCCTGGGGAGTTATGACCACACTACAATTCCTTCTCCTCCATTTTCTCTTAGGATTTTGGGCAGACATGTACATGCGCTAGCATGTTTTTTCAAATCCTGGGTCCAGGACTTGAACATGCAGTTGGCCATGTGAGATCCAATGCCTTCACCACCACATCACCTGCTGGCCCGGTGGTTTTGCTTTTTGGACAGGGTCTCACCATGTCACAGTGTCCTTACTCAAAACTATCTGGGATCACATGCGTGTAGCACAGCACTGGGCTTTGTTTTCATGTTTATAGTAATCTTTTTTTTTTTGGAGAGGTTTTCGCTATAGGGCACGTGCGCTTGCCAGACAGACAGAGACATAGAGACAGAAAGCGAGAAACCACCCCCCCAGGGGGGATGGTCACGCCACAATCCCTTCTCTTCCATTCTCCTCTCGGGATCTTGGGCACATACGCACACGCACCCGGCGTGAGTTTTAAGCCACCGGGTTCGGGACGCGAACACCGGTCGACTATGTGGGAGTCCAGCGACATAGCCATTACGCCAACTGCTGGTTCCCAGTAATCTTATATACTTGTGCATACCTAGAATTTTTCCAAAACACTTATATTTAAATAATATTATAAATAATTATTTATGAATCTAATTTTTAGACCTCCATTGAAAGCTGGGGGTCTGGGTGCCCTCCCTTGAATCTGAGCTGGCCTGTGTCTGCCTCGATCAATAGAATATGTTGGCAGTGATACTGCACTGGCACCAGAAGCAGACTTTAAGCAGACTAGAAATTTCTACCTTTGTCTCTTATCCCTCAGTCCCGATATTAAAAGTCTGGTTACCCTGGGTCCAGCAGATGGTATAGTGGTTATGTTGCTGGACTCCCACCTGGCCGACTGCAGTTTGAGTCCCTGACCTGGCTTGAAACTCATACCAGGTGCATGTGTGTGTATGCCCAAGATCCTGGGAGAATGGAGAAGAAGGGATTGTGGAGTGATCATGTCCCCAGGGGATGATTTCTCACTTTCTCTCTTACTGTTTCCCTCTCTCTCTTTGGTGAGTGCACACGCCCTAGGGCAAAAAAGAAAAATTTGGTTACCCTGAAGCACTGTTGGGAGCAGGTAGCCAACTATAGCTCTCCCAAGCAGAAGAGGGAAGGGCAAGAAAGGGGAGAGTCAGCCAGCTAGAGCCCTCAGCTGTTGTGGTGTAGTAGTTAAGGTGTTGGATTTCCACATAGCCAGCTGCAGTTCAGGTCCCAGACCTATGACGTGAAAATCATGCCAGGTGCAAGTGTGTGTGTGTGTGTGCCAAAAATCCCAGGAGGGGAATGGAGAAGGGACTGTGGCATGGCCACCTTCCCTGGGTTAGTGGTTTCTCATTTTCACTCTTTCTGTCTCTCTGGTGAGCATATGCACCCTATGGCAAAAACTTAAGGAAAAAAAAAAAAAAAAGGAAAGAAAGAAAAAACAGACACAAGTCTCCCTTCTGTGCCTTGTTTGAATTCCTGGCCCTCTGAGTTGTGAGATGCAGTTGGCCAGCAGGTGGCGCAGTAGTTAAGGAAGCTGGATGGCAGACTGGACAGTAGGAGTCTCAGACCAACAGCCTGAGAAAACACACTGGGCATGTGTTCATGCATGCCCAAAATCTCAAAAGGAAATAGATGTGGAGAAAGAATTGTAGCATGACCATTCCCCATGGATTGAGGGGCTTTCTCACTCCCCCTCTGCTCTCTCTGGTGAGCACACACACCCTCCGGCAAATGAAAAAAAAAAAAAAAAAGAACCATGAGATGTAGTATAGTAATAATAAATTATTGCTTGAAGCAGCTAGGTTTTAGGACAGTTTATTAAGCATCAGTAGTGATAAAGAACAGATGTTTTAAACTAATATCACCATTACTTTAATTCCTAAATGTATATACACAGATTACAAAAAATAAATGATGTACAAGGTTTGCATTTTAAGAATGTTTAATAGATTACTTGTGCAAAATTAAAGTGAATTTAAGCAAACATTTTAACATTTCAAAATTTAATTTTATTATTTTTTAATATTATTTATTTAATTGCATTTATTATTATCATTATCATTATTCAATTTGACCAGAGAGAGAGAAAGGGAAAGTAAGAAAGCAAGCCTCCAGGTCTGGGACTTGAACCATGGTCGGCTATGTGGGAATCCAGCGCCTTTAACCACCTGCTGGCCCCCAAAAATTAATTTTATATTTAGTAAAAATTAAGGGCTTTTGAAAGTTTTTGTTTGTTTGTTTTTTAGTATTGATATACAGCATATGTGCCTGGCAGAGAGACGAGAGAGAGAGGGAAAGTGAGCAATCAGGCGCTAGGGGGAATAGCTATGCCACTATCCCTTCTCTTGTTTACTCTGGGGATTTTGAGCATGCACACATATGTGCTCAGAGTGATTTTCAAGCTGCCAGGTCTGGGACTCTAACGGCACAATCGACCATGTAGGATCCAGTGCCCCAACCTCCACACCACCTGCTGGTTATTTTTAAATAACTGATATTACTTTAGCAGCAGTGACTAGTCTGCAGTGGTATATTCAGTAAGAATGATGCAGATCAGTTAAGTGGCAGGAAAAAATTATGCGGACGGATTCTTTCCAAGTCTTATGTCCATGCAAAATGCAATGCCAATAAACTGACCAAAACCAAACAAAAAATGACAACAAAAATATGGTCAGCGCTATTATTTTGGAACCCAATTCAATCTGAAAGCATCTGCGAGAGGACCCACACAAAAGCCTTATACTGATTTGTGGAAAAGTAGTAAGTCACTGGGCTGTTTCCAGGAGACACAGATTCTTGGTTTCAGAGTTCCTGAGCTGTTCACTCACTGTGCCAGAACAGCTGACTTCCCACAGAGTATGCTTGAGTATCTCTGCCACTGAGGCCTGGAAGCGGGCTTGGAACCTTTTACTAATTAGGACATAAAGGATGGGGTTCAAACAGCTATTGAGGAACGCCAAGGCAGTGGAGAGGGGAATTCCAGCCTGCAGCAACTGGTGGAAAGAGCTGCTGTGGTGAATGGTGAGCTCCCAAATGCTGAACAGGTGATACGGAGTCCAGCAAATCAGAAAGGCCAGGACCACAGCCAGGATTGTCCAGAAGTGCTTACTGGAGATCAAGATGCTCCGCTTCTTCACTTTGAAGATGAGACACAAGTAGCAAACACTCATTGTTAACAAAGGGAAGAGATACCCAACAATAAACTTCACCCAGGTCAGAACATGGTGCCTCATTAAGTTGAGGTCAGGATCAAGCTCATGGAAATTATTATAGCAAATAGTGTGGTTGTTGAACTCCACCGTGTCCCGGAAGTATAGGGCAGGACCACCAATGAGAGAAGCCAAAAGCCATATGAATATGATAACAATCAGGGAGTTCTTCAGGGTTCGGTGCCGATGAGACAGGACAGGATGGATTAGGTGGATATAGCGGTCCAGGCTGATCACTGTAAGGAAAAATACACTGGCAAACATATTCAACTGGGCAATGAAGGAATTGGCCTTGCACAACCAGATGCCAAAGGGCCAGTGGAAATTCATGACCATGTAGGAGATGTACAGGGGCAGGAACAGAACAAAAATGAAATCTGCAATGGCCAGATTGAGGAACCAGAGAGTGGTGACTGTCTTCTTCCACTTGAATCCTGTGAACCAAATGACAATGGCATTTCCTGGAATTCCCAGGACAAATGCTAAACAATATAACACCAGGGAGATCCAGTGGATGACTCCCAGGTGGACTTTCTCCTCCAAATCAGGCTCCAGGAGGTCATTTTCCAGGACATAGGAATAGTTCTCAAATTCTTCAAATGTTTCCTCTAGATCTTCCATAATCTCGCTAAGTAGAGAAGGCTGAAATCTGTAAAAACAAATTAGGAAAAAAAAAAAAAAAAAAGGAAAATAATTAAAGCAGAAGAAAAGTTCAGTGAATGATAAGGAACATAAAGACAAAAATATTCTGTTTTATGAATGGGACATAGTGTGATTTTGGGGAGGACTTAGATCATAGTCTAGCTGTATAACCCTTGATAGGCCTCAGTTTCACTCTGTCATTCTCAGAGAGTCACTTTTGCAAAAAAATTTGTAATTGCTAAATTAAAATGATTAAGGTGTTTGGACTCCCATATAACTGACCATGGTTCAAGTCCCAGACCCAGTGGCTTGAAAATCACACCAAGTGCTTGTGCATGCATGCCCATAGTCCTGAGAGGAGAATGGAGGAGAAGAGACTATGGTGTGGCCATGCCTCCTGGGGAATAATTTTTCACTTTCCTTCTCTGTCTGTCTCTACTCTGGCAAACACATGTCCCCTATAACAAAAATCTATAAATAAATAAATAAAATAAAAATGATTAACTTTATAGGTATAATTTCTCTGTTAATGTTTATATGGCTGACTGGAGAGAATTTAACATTTAATGAACATATTATTAGATTGCTTCTATATACTATTTTTTATTATGGCAAATCCAAAAGAAAACAAATTAATATTTACACAGTGATGATTTCAAAATCTATCTGTAGCCTTGACTTAAGCTCTAGACATTACAACTGCTTTTTTTAATAAGTATTTTTTCCTTCCTTCCTTCCTTCCTTCCTTCCTTCCTTTCTTTTCTTTCTTTTTTCTTTTCTTCTCTTTTTTCTTTTCTTTTCGTTCTTTTCTTTTCTTTTTTTTTTCTCTTCTTTTCTTTCTTTCTGATTTTAATTTGACCAGAGAGAGAGAGAGAGTGAGAATGAGAGAGTGAGAGAGAGGGAGGGAAAGTGAGAAAGCAAGCTGCCAGGTCCAGGACTCGAACCGTGGTTGACCATGTGAGAGCCCAGCACCCTTAACCATCATGCACCTGCTGGCCCCTAGACATTAAAATTGCTTCTTAGGACCATCTGTCCAGATGTCACAGGTAAGCACTAGAGACTTTAACCAACTCTTTTACAATCAAAGATTTTTCTTTTTTTATGGAGATTTTTGCTGTAGGTATGCGCACATTGCTGGAGAGACAGAGAGAAAGAAAGTGGGAAATCACCTCCCTGCAGGGGGGGATGGCTTCGCTGCAATACCTTCTCCTCCATTCTCTTGGGATCTTGGGCACATGCACACACACCCAGTGTGAGGTTTTTTTTTTTTTTTTTTTTGGGAGGTGTTTGGCAAAGAGTTTTGGAGAGGTTTTTGCTATAGGGTGCGTGTGCTCACCAGACAGACAGAGAGAGACAGAAAACAAGAAATCACCCCCCAGAGGGGATGGTCACGCCGCAATCCCTTCTCCTCCATTCTCCTCTCGGGATCTTGGGCACGCATGCACACGTGCCCAGTGTGAGTTTAAGCCACCGGGTCCGGGACTCAAACCGTGGTCAATTACGTGGGAGTCTAGTAACATAGCCATTACGCTAACTGCTGGTCCCCCCAGTGTGAGTTTTAAGCCACCAGGTCCAGGACTCAAACCATGGTTGAATATATGTGAGTCCAGCAAAGTAACCATTATGCCATCTGCTGGTCCCAATCCAAAGTTGTTTTTTTGTTTGTTTATTTGTTTTTGCTATAGGGTACGTGCACTTGCTGGAGAGACAGAGACAGACAGAGAGTGAGAAATCACCCCCCACCCCAGTCCGGCAGGATGGCCATGCCACAGATAATTATAATTGTTAGAAATAATAATCAATGCTGTTGGGAATATACTAGCTGCCTGATACATATGACCTAATTTGATCCTCATAAAACTCCTATGCAGTACCTAGGTAATGTTATTATTCTCATTTACAAGGAAGGATCCTGAAGTCCAGGGAAGCTTAGTGACGCACTCACGATCACACAGGCCACAGTTACAGAGTCAGGGTCTAAGCTCAGATCTGGTGAACCACCTCAACAGTCTCCTCTTCCATCATACTTCTTGCATTTAACACACTATATTGTCATTGACTTTTTTTTACACTGAGTCAGAAAATTATTTAATAGTTACAAAAAAAAAGCAAAATCAGTATAAAATAGCAATTGATTTCTCCATAATTATCAGGATTATTTGTATTTGAGATCGTGGCTAAGTGGGGCTGAAATCAACAAAAGGTCTTGGACTGTTGGCTCAGAAATCAAGGGACCAGCAGTTAGCATAATGGTTATGTTGCTGAACTCCCATGTAGTTGGCCACGGTTCAAGTCCCGGACCCAGTGGCTTAAATTCACTCCGGGCGCATCTGCGTGCGTGCCCAAGATCCCAAGAGAAGAAAGGAGGAGAAGGGATTGTGGCATGGCCATCCCCTCTGGGGGGTAATTTCTCCCTTTCCATCTCTCTGTCCCTCTCTGTCTTTCTGGCGTGCACATACACCCCATAGCAAAAACCTCTCAGGGGAAAAAAAATCTAGGAAGCCTGCATTGTTGTAATGCTTAGCTCTTATGAGATTACTGGGTCCTTTAAAAATAAAGTAGTAGGGGGACCAGCAGTTAGCATAATGGCTATGTCGCTGGACTCCCATGTAGTTGGCCGCAGTTCACATCCCGAACCTGGTGGCTTAAACTCATGCGTGTGCGTGCATGCCCAAGATCCCAAAAGGAGAATGGAGGAGAAGGGACTGCAGAATGGCCATCCCCCCTGGGGGGTGATTTCTCGTTTTCTGTCTCTCTGTCTTTCTCTGTCTGTCTGGCGAGTGCATGCGCCCTATGGTAAAAACCTCTCAAAAAAAAAAGAAAAAAAGAAAAAAGAAGAAAAGTAGCTTTCTTTCTTTATTCATTCTTTGGAGGCTTAAAGTGAATTTGGCAGCATTCATTAAACACCTTCTAGCTCTGTCATTTACCACTTCAACATTTAGTTGTGATTGTGTACATTTCAACTTTGCCTTTTTTTAAGTTGCTTTCATAATGCTATATTATCCAGATTCTTTTCTCTCTCTTTCCAGAGGCTTTTTAGTACCTCTGAGGTCTGGGCTATACAATTTTTTATGAGCTGCTATTAACTGGAACTCAGTGAGCTCTTCACAGTTCACCTTGCCATTGGGTGCCGCCATACTGGACCAACCGCCATTGACTTATTTTTCATTTCCTTCTGTCAGATTGGGAGCTCTATGAGAATAATGACTACCATCTCTGTACCCCATAGAGCCTAGTACAATTCTTTTTTAAAAAAATTTGCTAGAGGGAGCATGCACTTGCCGGAGAGAAACAGAGTGAGAAAGAGAGTAAGCATGAAAGAGAGAGGGAGAGTGAGAAGGAGAAAGCACCCCCCCCCAGTGGGGTGTGGTCACGATGCAATCCCTTCTCCATTTCTCCACCCTGTCCGGATTTGGGGAATGTATGCCCAGCGTGTTCCTCAAGCAGCCTGTTCTGGCTCTCAGTGTGAGTGGCCACGTGGGATCCAACTTTCTTAACCACAGACCACTGAGTCAGTCCACGCCTAGCCCAAGCCTTAATAAAGCATTGGTGCTTAACATATCCTTAAGAAGTAATTGACTTTATTATAAAACCTGTTCAAGAACCAAAGACAGCTTTAAAGAACATTTTATTTAACTTTATTTATTTATCTATTTTAATTTGATCAGAGAGGTACAGCACAAGAGAGAGAAAGAGAGAGAAAGTGAGAAAGCAAGCCACCGGGTTCAGGACTCAAACAGCAGTTGGCCATGTGGGAGTCCAGCACCTTTAACCACCATGCCACCTGCTGGCCCCAAGAACCCAAACCAATTTTAAAGTCTCTGGCGAGAGTTTGTGAGTTTGTCTCTAAGTCAGTGCTGTTGCCAGAATCTCTCTAACCTTCACTACAGTTCCAGCCCTGGGACCTTGGCTTGTTTCTTGCTGCCAGCTCCTTCCCTTTGTGTGTCCTAGGTCTTTGAGCAAGAATAGCTTTTGAGCAGATGGCATAATGGTTACGTCCCATGTAGTCAGCTGTGGTTCGAATCCCAGACCTGGCAGCTTAAAATTCATGTTGGACACGTGTGCATGTATGGCCAAAATCCTGAGAGGCCAAAATCCTGAGCGGAGAAGGGAGGAGAAGGGATTATGGTGTGGGGTTTCCCCAGGGGATGATTTCTTGCTTTCCATCTCTGTCTTTCCGGCAAGAGTATGTTCTCTATAGGAAAAAATCTCTCTGAAAAAAGAGAAAAAAAAAAAACAAACACAATGCACCAGGGGATGTCATAATAGTTATGTCACTGGATCCCCATAAAGTTGACCCCAGTTTCAGGCCCAGGTCTGGCGGCTTAAAATTCATGCTGGGTTCATGTGTATGAGTGCCCCAAATCCCAAGAGAATGGAGAAAAGACTGTGCTATGACCATCCCCCCGGGAGTGATTTCTCACTGTCTCTGTCTCTCCAGCAAGCACACAAACCATGTAGCAAAAATCTCTTAAAAAAAAAAGAGAGCGAGAGAGAATGGCTTTTTTCCTCCTGCCCTGTTCTTTCAGGCCTGGGATCTTGCCTTTCCTCCCCACTCCTGGGGGCTGACCCTCTACAGGGTGAATCCGCCCAGCCTGGTCTCAGATCGCCTGTGTGGCTTGATTTTCTGCCTCCGTACTGGACACCCTTGGCTTTCAGGTGCCTACGACCTGTTCTAGGCTATTAGCAATCCTGCAGCCACGTGGCCTAGGTAATGGTCTGAGTCACCTTGCAAAATCCTAAGCAGTGACTAGAAGGAAATTCATTCCCCCAAGAAAAGGCCCTAGAACACCTTTAATAATTCACAACTGCCGGAGCCAGCAGGTGGCATGGTGGTTAAGGTGCTGGACACTTCTACATGGCTTCCCATGGTTTGAGTCCCAGACCTGGTGGCTTGCTTTCTGATTTTTCCCCTTTCTCTCTCTCTCTCTGTTGTCAAATTAAAATAATGAATAACTAAAATTAAATAATTTTCAAAAAAAAATTCACAACTGTTAACCTCAGCAA